ACCGCTGCTTCTTAAGAATCATTGGAGAGCAAGCCTGTCCCTCCCTTGCTTGTGCATGCACATCCTGTTTCGTGAAAACGTATTTTTCTTTTGAGCAAAATTGAAAGAAAGAAAGGAGAGCGAGAAAGGAAGGGGGTGGGGGAAAGAAGGTTGCCATCCAGTGGAGGAAGGAGTAATTTCCAGCTTCATTCAGGGGAAAAAAAAAAAGCAAGCTTACACACACACACACACACACACACACACACACACACACACACACACACTCACACGCAGGCTAAAGTATGCTTAACTCTTTTAACTTGGCTGGACCCTTTTAGCACCATATGGGGTTCTTTGTGACATCCGGAGCCAAATGAGTGCAGTGTGCCTTTAAGGAAAGAGGTACCTCACCAAACTTCCCCGTAGTTGTGCCTCACCATTTAGGTAGGGAAGGAAAGCGTTAATTTCTTATTTGTACACTTTTTTTCCCCCGACTTCCTTCCTATTCACTTCATTAAATCTAGAGGCAGTTCAGCATGGGAGCCGTCTGTATGTTGAATTAGGGCTCGCACTCTTGCGCAACACGTCACCAGTCGGAAACTGGGGGTTTGCTCCTGAGATTTATTTCATTATTGTGCTGGTAAAAGGTTTGGAAGGGAATTCTTTCTGGGGGTAATACTTTTAGCATTGTGTAGCAAGTTTTTTGTTTTTGTTTTGTTTTGGTTTCTTTTCTTCTTCTTCTTCTTTTTTTTTTTTACCCACCCCCCTGCCCAGCTAAGTTGTCCGTTGAGCTAGCTTAAATAATATTTTTTTTTAAATCAGAGAAGCCCCCATAATTTCCCTTACATGCAGGAGAAATCTTAAGTCTAACTCTTGAAGTACGAAAAGCATTGGGAAATATGGAGGGAATTGATTTCCATTAGAAAAAGCCCCTTAGAAACCACAGAACCTGAATCCCTGCATATAGATGTGTTCCGGGTCTTTGGGGAGGAGGGAAGATTTTTGTAGCTCTCTGCATTCCTGCATAAAAGCCTTAATTTAAGGGGAATAATGGTCAGTACTTTGTGTGATCTCCTGTAACTCCAGAACCTAAATTTAATAAGAATCTGCAGTATTAGCAATTGTAATAAAAATTTGTGTGACGAGTTCTGTTTGTAATTTAATTTGTTTTCCCCTTCTTAGGTACTCAAAGACATAGAAATTTAAAACTCCAAATATCACAAGCTTAAGCTTTGTTCCCCTTTTTCCAGAATTAAGGGGGGAGGGATGGTTGGTTAGGGCAGAAATACTCTTTTCACAAACTTCCCCCCTCCTCATGGATCCCACTGAAAAGAAAAACAATGAAAAATTTTGCAGTATGAAAACCGAAAGTGAAGTGTCACAGTTATTCGGGATTTTTCTTTACAGAGAAAAATAACACTGTATTAAAATACAGGAACCTGAGAACATGCACAATGCTTTTACTTACATGCATCTAGTGGGGGGAGAATGGTTTTTCTCCTGTGTTAAAAATCGTTTTTAGACTGCTCCAAAACCATGCAGCATATCTTTTCTGAAAAAAAAAAAAAAAAGACGACTAAGATGAAGCAAAAAATACAACAAAAAGCATATCTTGCTTTAATCTCTTAAAATACATTTGAATATTCATTTGTTTTCTTATTGGCTTAATTGTTAAAATGCAAGCAAGAATCAGAAACCACCTGAGCTAAAAATCTCTAATTCTGCCGCCTGGAATAATAAGGGGGGAACAATATGATAAGTAGTTGTCAATATTAAAACAGGCTGGAGGAAGAAGGCTTGGGGCCTGGTCGTAGGTAGAATGAAACAGCAGATTTGAGTATCCACAATCCTTCCAGTATTAAATTTTCAGTAAAATAAAATTACTTGTATATGAAAACATAGCCTTTCCCAGCTCTCTTTTTTTTCCTGATCAGCTGATGAAGAGACTAGCAGCTCGCTGCTTTGCTGGCTTGTTAATTTTATCCCCACTAACTGTGATTTCCGATAGCCGGCCTGCTGATAGTGGTAAGGTAAATATCCTTTTTCGTTGCCGTCTTGAAGATTCAGTAGAAACTACATCCCAGGCATGTGTAGGTGTGTAACACATCAAAAGCCGGTGTTCTCCGTATTTCTGTGTGCAACTGGGTGCTGGAGGAGAGCAGTACCATTAACTGTTGACAGGCTTGCATGCTGTATTTATGATTAGCATGTTCAGCCTACAAGAGACTCGGGACAATTTCTTTCTCTTCTCTTTGCTTAGCTGCAGTGTGTTTAGCTGTATAGTGGGTGTCCTGCTTTTAGGCAAATGAATATTAATGAAATAATGGGGAGCTTTTTTTTTTTCCTTTCTCCTTTTTCTTCATAACTCATCAGGTCTCGCCTCCTTCATAGTGGTTATCTGAACACTGTAGGATGGTGACGGAAATTGTCTTTTGATTATTAAGGCCTGGGCTCAGGTTGTCCCTTAGGATTCTGTCTGTGTGCATGTTGCTTCTGTGGATTAGCACATTGGAGAGAGTGCATTGAAACATTTTTTTTTTTTTTTTGATCCCACTGGCGTTTTTAACATGCCAGGTTGTTTTGTGTTCTGTACCAGGTTTTCTTCACAAAACCTTTCTTTTTCAGGAGGCATTGTACATAAGTGAAAGAAATTACGTCTGAGCTGTAATCACTCTTTATATTGATTGTTATACTCACATGATCATAAATATTAGCCATGTTTGGTGCTGTGGAGAAATGAAGGTAATTGCCTTATGATTAGAGCTCTTTCAGCTAGCAGAGGATTGATTAGCATTTATACAGTGGAGGCAATATAGAGAGGGCCGGAGGAACAAATAGCAGCAGCAGTTATTTGTGTGAGAAAGCAATCTCAAAATGTCATTTTAAGATTTTTTTTTTTTTAAAGAAAATTTCTTTTCCATGGTCAGATTTTCTTTTGTCTGTTTTTTCCCTTTTTTTTTTCTTTTTGTTCCCTTAATTTTTCTTATAAGTTTCGAGACTTACCAGGAAAAAAAAAAAAGAAAAGTTTGAACTTGTGGGTCCTGTCACGTGGATCTTTTAGCCTTTTCTGAACAGGTCCCCTTCACACCTGGCTGTTTTTATAGCTATTTTATTATCTTTCTGTATTAGTGCTGCTGGCTCTGGTTTAAAGCAAGCGTTTGCAGGTAATTGGGGGAAAAGTGTTTTTGCTGTTTGTGAGTGTGTGTTCTCTATCGGGTGATTTCATTGCGTCTACCAGGGAATGTGGCTTCATACTTCCCTCCTGCTTCCTTGTTTACTGATTTCTGCATTAGAACCAAAATCTGGATGGAATTGTTGATTTATGTTGTGAATCATGAATCAATTGATGTAAAACCTTAAAGGTCGGGGCTCTTGTGACTGCATAGATATATTCTTTGGGGATTATTTTGTTTTCTTCACTCACCCTGGTTTTTGTTTATTGTTACTGTCCTTATCAGTGATGACGCCTTTAGAATGTTTTGCTTATATTGAGATAAATTTCACGTGAATTGAGTCATTTTCAAGCACTTGAATATATAGATGCTTTAATATCTGCCTCTCTAATAATTAGGCCTTACAATATAAACTTAGGTTAAAGATGTGTTTTATCCAACATGGTAGTGGCTTTTCCTTTTTTTTTTTTTTTCTCCATTGATGACTGTTAACTTTTAGTTTTACTTTGTTAGTTAGTTTTATTTTATTCTAATTATTCAAGATATATGTATCTATACCCCTTACTATAAAGGTATGGGTATGTTTGTTTTGTTTATTATTTTCTTCACTTGAATTTTTTTCCTCCTTGGTTCCTGGTTTACAGGCCATCGAAGACGGCAATTTGGAAGAAATGGAGGAGGAAGTACGGCTCAAGAAGAGAAAAAGACGAAGAAATGTGGAGAAAGATCCTGTGAAGGAGGATGTGGAAAAGGCGAAGAAAAGAAGAGGCCGCCCTCCAGCTGAGAAACTGTCACCAAACCCCCCCAAACTAACCAAGCAGATGAACGCCATCATCGATACTGTGATAAACTACAAAGATAGGTGAGTGTGTGGCTCCTTCCCTTCTACCAAGCCCATGAGTGCTAAGAATTAAGACCTGCACTTGGCTTATAGGACTCTCTCTCTAATTTGCATTTTATGGCTTTTTGTCCTGGAAGATGTTGAGTTGCCTTGCACCCTTCGAAATGGCCACTGATGGTGTTTGTATGATGTTTCACCATGTGTGGTTTAAGATGGTGGGGAATGAGATTAGAGGACTTGTTAAAGGACTCTAAACCGAAAAAGGATTCTTCAGGAACTCTGTTGAGCGAGGTGGTGAATGAGCGATGATGAGATGAATTTTTTTGTTTTATTTGTTTTTGAAGTTGACACCATAGGAAAAAAAAAAAGAATTGCAGATGCATTTAAGGTAATCTTTTATGGTAATAAAGGATCTGCTTCCAGAGAAAGAGAGAGAGAGAGAGAGAGAGAGAGAGAGAGAGAGAGAGACACCTCTGAAAAATTGTTGTATTTCTCTCCTCCTAATGCTTGCATTTCTGTGAGCCATCTTCTCTCTTGTATTACCGCAGTATGTATTCAGAGGAGTAGTTCAGCAAATTCACTCATTCTTCATGGACCAATAAGAAGGCGGTGCTGGGCCAGGCAAGACCACTTTAAACAATGAATTTAACTATTTGGAAACTGAGGCAAAGACACTCCATACATTAGTCAACCCTATACTAGTTAACTAGTTGGGCCTCATTGGAGTTAGTTGATTTTGGTTACTTGCTCTGATTTCCTTCCAAGCAGTGGTATGTTCCTTTGAAAGCTGACTCTGATTTCCACGGGAAGCCGACATTTCTGCTCTCTCAATTGCCTGATCAGACAAGTCAGTTGTTAGAGACCTTCAGTTTTCACCAGGAACGCCTGTTGTTCTCTTCACCTGCTGAGTGGCCCACCACTCAGCTAAATTGTGATTTGGGGTCTTCATCATAGCTTTGATGTATTGCATGGCAGGCAGGAAGAAGTGGCTAGAAAGATTAAGTAGCATGAAAAGTAGAAGTCTTTCCACCAGGAGTTTTCGCTCTTCAGCCTTTCTGACCCATGTGGCATTTTCCAACAGTGATGTGGACAGGAGGAAAAAAGTCTATTGAGGAGCCAGAATTTCTTGTCCCTCTCAACCCATCAAGCCCCCTAGCTCCTGTACTTGCTAGTTTCAGTATTTTCTTTTTGAAAAAGGGTACATCCTTTTACATATTCTGAAGTGGCCACAAAGGGCATCCCCCATCTTCTTGAGTTTGGATTAACTGCTCATTGACAATCCAGGACGGAAATTTGACCCCAAGTCCACTCTTGACCTGGAGTAAACATGAATTTCTCTTTTATTTATTTATTTTGTCCAAACCAAGAGTTAGTAACTCTGAAGTTTCTGTTCACCCCCATTTGCATCTCATATCAACTTCTGCTGTGAGGAAATTGCAACTAAGTAGGGAATATTGCTCTGCACAGACCTCTCACTTTTTTTTGCTGTTCTGTCAGGAGAGTGTAACATCTGTTTCTCCAACCAGATGTACTTGAGCCTTTGGCAGGCCTTCCAGTATCAATCACATTGCTTGCTGATTGAGCCTGGGTCTGCTGGATCACTGAGAAGGGCTGAGAAAGTCTGTGAAGGTTTAAACGCTCCTGGGCCTTTGAATAGTGGCTGTTGGTTCCTTCTGCTTTAATCACCTATAGGGACATCACCTCATGTATCCAGAAGATTGTTTTGTTTGGCTCTGTATGGTTGGGGAGGCAAATTTATGAAGCTTCTGTTTCTTGACACCCCCCCACACACATTTGGAAAAACTTAAAAATCTGACAGCATTCTGCCCAACTTTCAGGGAGCGCGGTGTGTTGGGAGGGGTGTCAGCAGAAGGGAAGAAATGGCTGTTCTCTTCACCTGGTGGTCACAGGTGGTCTCAGCTGCCGCCATCCCTACCACCAATGTGGAGTCTGAGTTTCCTGTTGTTGACAGGTTGCATAGCTCATTTACATTGCCTAACTGCATTTGTGACATCCTGGTACACATGACTACAACAAACCCCGCCCCCAGAGCCCATTCCCAAATACAGACCTTTGTGAACAGAATTCCTTCATATCTGGGAAAAACAGAGCCCAGGGCTCACATCACAAGCTCCTTGAGCCTCAGCTGCCTCCATTTAAATCTTGACTCTGGTGTCACTTAGCTGGGGGATGCTTTACCTCCCCTGATCCTCAGTTTCCCGGTGTACACAGTAGAGCAATTCCTCCTTCCCCAGCCTGTAGCATTGCTGTCCTGGGAGGTTAATATAACCCCAGATTCCTTGAATAGTTTAGCGATTAATAATCAAACTTTCAGACTGTGTTCAGTTCATCAGGCAGGTGAAGGGACCTCCGAGCACTGTGAAGAAAGTGTCCTTGCTGATAGCGGTTTCCATGGTTTTTAGTTCCAGAAACAGAAAATGCAGTTTCACCGGAACTGACTATTGAGCATGTCTTTAGCTGTACTGTAGGCAAAGGGTATCTAAATGTTTTTAGGCATGTGGATATTCTGTGGTCCTTCCTCTTTTCCTGGCTCAATTTATGTATTTGCTTATTGGGTTCTCCTTCAAAAGTGCCCTGGTAAGATTCATTGTGCTAGCTCCTGCATTTTTAGGTACTTTCTGTAGATCACATGCTGCATTTCCCACCGCTGCATGACCCATGTATATTTCATGTTAGCGATCCTCTAGAAAAAGCAACTGACACTATTTATATTTTGTATTTCTCTTACCAAACTGGGTTCTCAAGTAGGAGGCGCTCAAATTAGGAGGGCCCTAATTAGATACAGTGTCGTATTTTTGGTTCCTTTTAGAAAAAACGCTACTGGGAAGAAAAAAAAATGTACATCCTTACTGTGGTGAGGTTTCTCTAGCATTAGAGTCAGTTACTAATACAGTAAGTAACTCAGCCCATCTCAAGGAGAAATGCCACCTGTACTAAACTCCGTCTAACGCCCCCATCCAGGGTTAGGGTTCCGATGGCCATGTAGCTGGGTAGGAAATTGAGTGAGACCTCCATCTCTATTTAAGAGATACTGAAGAAGAATAAATTAGGTCTCAAGAGCAATTGTGTAAAAGTCCTTGCATGATTCTGGGACAGATGTAGCTTGATATTTCCGTAAAGACTTAAGATAATTTAGGTGTCTATTTACTGCTTTGTATTCTAAAGCATGACAGTTTGAAAATGTGACCCAGAAGAGCCATCAGCTTTGTGCAGTTCACAAATGGATGACTGTTTGGTAGTGCAAGGCTGTGGCTAATAGTTCCTATCGTGTTATGTCTCCCAAATAGAAAACCTTTCTCTCAAGTCGCACTGAAGGCTTTGTTTTGACTTGGTGAGCATACTCTGTCTTCTGCTTGTTTTGGAGCCCTGTAATTCCCATCTCACCCTCTGTAATATTTAACCCAAAACACTCTGTTTCTTCTGAAAGGATTCCTCCTCCATTGCACCTGTACCTTTTAACAGCACCAAGAGATGCCATGGAGAATAAGGTGATGACTGATCTAGTAGAGCTCTTCCAGTCTCAGGAAACAGCCTTCAGTTAGAGGTTCGTAGGGATGAGCCTTGGCGTTCTGGGCTTTGGCTCTGCCCGGTCTGGTTTCCAGTGACTCAGATGCAGCAGCACTGGTGATAGAAAGTCCTCCAGCCTGCAGATACACATCACACACGGGACACAGTTTGGAGTGGGGGAGCTTCTTGACGCTCCCTGCAGAACTGCCTTAAATACGGTGCTCCTTGCCCATGTTAAAATCCTGTCCACTGAGTTTTGGTTATTTATTCTACAAAGTCTTCAGAGATGAACCCGGTCTCCTTTCAAGAGATGTTCTTTTAGAGTGGTTATAAACTGGCCTACCCCCCCCCCAGGTCTGCATCCTTCAGGTAGAAACACCCCCCATTTATTTCCTGAGTGACACTTAGACCCCTCCTTAGACACGTTTGAAACATGCACCCAAGAGTTCCCGCTGTGCTCTGAGAGGATGGGGTAGCTTGCTTGCTTATTCTGGACACCAGCGTTCTGTACACGTGACTCCAGAGTGACATTTTTTTTTTTTTTTCAGCATTCTTATCACAGAGCCAGTTGATATGGGACAGGTGACACTCACACCATACATGTCTTTTCTCTAAAACTGCTAAGGTTAGCCTTGAGCTAAGTAAGGGTTACAGTCCAACCATAATATACTGAGTGCATCTCCATCTTGAAGTGTTTGTTCTCATCATTAATGTTACTTTTTTAAATTTTTTGAACAAGTATTTTCTTGTCTTCCTGAGGATTTTTATTTGTTGGGTTGTTGTTGTTGTTGTTGTTGTTTTTTAAATAGATATGACATAAACTATTGCTGAAATGTTTGTAAAGGAACCAGGACAGGGCTCTGTGACATGCCCTTGCCAGCAGTGCAGGTTGATGTGAATATATTGACCAGTAATCTTTGAAGCTGGTCAAGTGCCGTTGAACTCATGTGGCTGAGCTTTCATGTCACCCACATTCATCTGTCCCTTCTCAAGGTTATCAAGAAAGACTAAAACCGAATACACCATGTTGGTAGCCTTTCCCATCTATCAACCTAGAAACCCTGCTGAAAAAGTGAAATGAGGTTAGCCTGCCTGCCATGGCTTTTTCAAAGACACCCCCTGCTAGTACTTAGTGATGTTATTTATCTTTGCTAAATAGCCCCCTGGCCTCTGAGTAATTCAGTGTAGGTTCTCAACAAGGGTCAACGTGAAGCCTTACAGTCTCGGGTTTCATTTCTCATTTCAAAACAGGGATATTTGCTGCTCTCCAACCTCTGCCTCCATTCCCACTGTCTGTGATTTCCTATGTATTGTTAGCAGAAGCATTCTACACTCTTTCAGGATGTAATTAGTTTGCAGCTGGTCACTTGAACTCTTTTGAAGCACCTTGATATGTTCTTTGAAAAAAAAAAATCAACTCTCCTATCAGAAGCTTTTGCTGTTTTTACTACACCTTGCTTTTCAAATCGGTGTTCTCATCCCTGAAGAATTTGGAAACAACGGTGTATGGTGTGCACACATGTTAACCAGAACTGCGAGGCTGAGGCACAAGGATATCCACTTTGAGACCAGGCTGGGCAACATAATGAGACCCTTTCTCAAACAAACAAAACTAACAATAATGGTGACTAAAGGGCAAACCCCTCCCCCCAAAAAATTCTAAGAATCTAGAAGCAGAATGTGCATTTATACATTGATTCTTTTTAAAAAAGCCTTTCTTGTTCACTGTATATGTGATTTGAAGATGAATGTCTTGAAGGTACATTCCATGAGACCTGACATCTGCATAGGGTGTGGACCTCAAGTCCAACTCAGAAGGTGGCATGAAGCAGTGGTAAAGGTGGGAGGTTCTGCTTGGCTAGTCTGATCCGAGGCTATGGTGCTACCATACAGTTCAGGAGGCAAGGCAGGAAATGGCAGCTATGTATCTCCTACCTCCCCGGACATGCGTTCCCCTCACCGTTCCAGTTTTAATAAGCCCTTAGTGATAAATTGATTGATGGTACAAGGCTCCACTTGATCTGAATTTAGTGCTTTTGGCATCGGGGAAATCATCTACCCATCCTGGAAATGTTCCTTGGGCTGTTTTCAGTTCCAGGGATGGACTGCTCAGTCTAGCCACAGGGTCCTCATTCCAGGTCCCTCTCTGGCCTCCTTCCCATGCAGGGAAGACCGTGTTTGCTGCTGATGCAAAGTAGAGAAGGCAGGGTCAGGAGAGTCCCACTATACCAGAGTGCGCTGAGGTTTGGTTTTTTTTCTTTCTTTCTTTTTTTTTTTTTTTTGAGGAAAACAGTAATCACAATGACAATTTTCTGAAAACAAACAAAGGAAACACCAGGCAGTATTTCTTTACATCATCATAACACTTTTGAAAGGATATGGCATGTTCTAAACCCAATCACAATTGTCTTTGTTTAATCACTACCTACACTGTGTCAACATCATCAGCCCTAAGCCCCAAATATGAAACAATAGAAGTCTCCCCTTCCATACCTCAGTTCTAACACTCAGATACAAAGTTCTCTCCCAAACACAGTGTCTCCAAGGCAAGCGTCCTCCTGCCTCTTCACACACTGTCTCCATGAGCCCCTGAACCCCCTGGTCTGGAACAGCTGCCTTTTGTGTGGGAGGTCAGCCTCTTGTGTCTTACTGTCTTGCCTTCTTCCTGAGGCATATAGCTAATCACATCTTCCTGTTCTCTAAGAGCTTCCAGACTTCTGGCCTTGGGAAAGTAGGTTTCCATGTTCTGAACCTAGCAACCTTTCTGTTTTGTTTTCTAGCGTGGCCCTTTCTGTTCTCACTTGGACTTTAGTCATTCTAGTTAATGATGTGTATTTGGAGTTCTGCATGCACTTTCATACCCCACTGTGTGGTATATGCTGACCCTGTCCAGTTACCTCCTACTCTGGGTGAAGCAAGCAGTCAGTGTCCATGCTGCAGTGGGATAGCGTGGGTTTGCCACAGGAGGCGGCTGGTTTGATCTAGAGACTAATCTGATGGGATGGAGGGCTTCCCCCGGTGTTACCCACCTGTTTACCCTTCCTCCTTCGCCACCACACAGAAGGTCGCCTATGTGTCAGTGTCCAAAATTCTCAGATAACCCTCAGATAGTGGCCCAACTTCATTGGCTGTCAAGAGCACTTGTTCAGTGATCTGTTGAAAACAAGAGATCGGGAAACAAGCGCCTAGGTTGTGACCAGAATACAGGCTGCTGCGTGGAATCCATTCATGTGGTGGGTGCTGTGACCAAAACCACCTTATCCAGTTCATAGTCAGGCGCTGTCTTGGTAAGTATGATCCCTATTGTACAAATGTGAGGCCAAACAAGACTAACACACCCGGAGCATGGCTTCTCATTCTCCACTGCTTTTGGAACTACGAACGGGACACCGTGTGTGGATGGAAATGGAACAGGGGAGCAGGGAGACGCAGAAAGGGCCCTAAAATGTTAGGAAGCTATGCTCCAACCCCCATCACATTGGAGAAATGTGTGTCATTGGAGCATGATACCTTGTGTGGTCTACTCAACCAGGCTGACTCCCAGTGAAATCAATTGCTCCAGGTCGCCCAGCCCGAGAGGAAGGAGCTGGGCTGGGAGGAGGACCCAGGTCTTCTGACTCTAGTGTTCTTTTTACTCTGCCACAGGTGTAACGTGGAGAAGGTGCCCTGTAATTCTCAGTTGGAAATAGAAGGAAACAGGTCAGGACCTGCCTTGTATCCCCATGTCTCTAAACACAGGTATCCTTTGGTACACAAAGCAAGTGGATGCGTAGACTTGGTCTTTGGAAACAAATTGATCTAGGATGCAGGCACACATACTCTTAAACACCTGCCATGCTTTTGAGGTTGCAGTGCGGTGTGCTCACCCTGCAAGAGCCCACCTGCACATGCATGTCTTACAAAGGTGGCAGGAATCATCTGGAAGCCTGCCCAGCCTGCAGCACCTCAGAGGTAGGTCTCTGCCTCCTCTGCCCCCCTTCGGCCCCTCATCCTGGTGTGTGTCCGATGCACCATGTAACTCTGTGCTGCCTAGGTGTGGCAGCTTAACGCCAAGCACTCCAAGCACTCGAGGAGACCTGATGTGTGTGGCATGAAGTTGAGTGCATGTTCATACCGCTCTGCATCCTGGACTTGATTGCAGTGGGCATGGGGGTTGGAGGGGCAGGTGCTTCTTGCATTTACTCCTGAGTGTGTGCTGGGCTGGATTTCAGAGTGTGACCTTTGAGCCTCCCCTCATGGTGAGTCCTAAGCTTCCTCGGCCAGTCTCTCTAACTTCATGTGCCTCTGCTTCAGCTGGCTGGAAATAGGAAGTGCTCTTTCCCTAAAGACGCTAGCGTATGATGGTGCTGGTTGATGGGAGATGGATGGGTGTGATGCACAGTTAAGAGTTATCAGTACATTTAGTGTGATATGTTCCTTCCTTCCAGTCAAGCTGACTTGTTCAGATTATTGCTGTAGTGCTTTTGCTGTATTTCAGAATGAACAGATCCTGATCTGTGGCCTTTTAAAATAAGGACTTAAACACGTGTCTGTAGAGACGAACCTGGGGCCAAATTGTTGGTTCTCAGCAAGCAGTGTCCAATCCTAGAAAGCACACATGCCACAGTGCCTGGCGAGCACCGCCAGTTATGCTCTGTTTCTAGCATCAGGAGAAAAGAAGGACTCAGGAGGCCTTGAACCCACACTGTGTCCCTAAGAGTGGGCTGTTTTCATAATAAGGTTACTTGAGTGTACCTAGAAAGGGCAAAGTGGGGGTTAACTGTCTGAGTTCCTTTTCCCTTTGCTCCTACCCCTCTCCTTCATCAAAGCAGTCACATGACCATGAAAAAGTGGATTAATGACTTTAAAGGCTACTGCAAACCCCTGATGTCATGCCTGGGCTTTCTGAGGGTAGAGAATATAACCTTATGCAGTGGGAACCTAGATAAATCTATTTTCAGTAACTACACATTGAAATGGCCGTTTCCAGAGGTTAGAAGAGGCTTGGCTGGCTTGCTTCCGTTGGGGGAATCTTTGGAGTTGGTGTCCTCCCATACTGTCCCCTGTGCGTCCTTGTCCCCTAAGCCTGAGCTAATTGTGTGGCATTTGGAGTTGTGCTGTGATAAACTAACCCTTCTTTAGAGCAGTTGCTCAAAAATCCTTTCCGTTCAAAAGCCCAAGGTTTTCCGTGTTAGTCTTTGTGTAAGTATTGAAAATGGGCAAGTGTGGGGGGGAGTAAACTAGATTGCCTTACAGCACTGTTAGAAGCAGGTATGCCAACAAGTCGTACAGACTCCTAGTGTGACGAGGGGAGGGACAGTGAGACTAGGAATACCTCCACTTGGCTTGTGTGTGGCACTGGGATTGGGTTGGAATGAGCCTGAGGGGTTACAGTGTACAAACCAAAGTACTCAGTAGTGTGGGCATGAGCAGCTGTGGGAAGGAGGTGTGGGTAAGCAGACTGCTTCTAGAGACCATGTGTCCCTGTGCAGCTAGACTTCCCTGTAGGAAGCAGCAGAACAGACCCGGAAGGCTATGTGTGAACTCCAAAGTGAAGGACTTGAGTGTGGTCCTGAAGAGCTCCAAGGCAGCGTCTGTATCATTGCAGTTGATTGTCGGGTGTCCCATGTTGAGGACCCAGATGGGGCCAGCTGGGCTCCTGCTAAAGAGGGTGCAGTGGTCAGTGTGTGCTGTGGGTGGAGGGATGGGTGCTGTCCACAGAGGGACCTGGCTATGCTGTAACACAAAGGAGAGTCAAGAGAGGATCATAGGCCACGTTGCATGTTCATGCTGGGCTAGGGCCAGCAGTCTGATATCATGCTGAGATGTGGAGTGAATGAGGCATGTTGGAGGGGGTGTCAAGTTAGAATGAGTTACAGGGGTGTTGCTAGGTGAAGGGGGAACACCATTCTGATAAGGCGTGGTACTGGGGAGGACGATGGCAGAATACACTCTCAGAATGCCTGATAGACTTCAGCAGACGTGCTCTGAGGTGGGATCCTCGGAGCGCTTGGTTCTGCTTCCTGCATGGTGAATGAAGATTCTAGGAATGTAGGTGAAAGGAAAGTGGGGTATACATGTGGCAGTATGTATACACACTTCTGCATACGTGTGTGTGTGTGTGTGTGTGTGTGTGTGTGTGTAGCAACCCAGACCCACAGACTCCACAACAGGACACTTAAGTCCTCTCCATGGCTGTTAACAGCCCTTAATGTCATGATTATAACATTAGTATTGACTGCTCTTTCAGAACCAGCCAACAAATTCTTTTAGACAAAACCTATTTTTAGCAGCCTTGGCATTAGGCGTTCTGCATTTCTTTAAATGGAGGAGGAGGAAGGCTGCTAGAATGGCTGCCGTGCCCAGACATCCTTGCTTTTAGAGGCTCCAGTCAGATTCCAGAAGAATTACCATGAAATAGCACCATGACTAGGTGGATGCATTTAGGCAAAATTCAAGTTCTAGGTGCTGAGAAGTTCCTCATTCCCTGCCAGCTCCTTTGGCCCCCACACAGTGCTGCCAGTTGTCTCAGGGACTGGCTAGTGAGGTCATAGCTTGATGTTTAGTCTGTGAAAATGTCTCCTAGAGCAGGACTTCCAACTCTCATCTCCCAGCTCTCTTAGAGATACCCAGTCCAGCTACAGAACTGGGGTGGGAGGTATCGCTGTGACCTGTGAAGTCAACAGTCTAATTCTCTTTAGCCCAGTGTTTCCCAGACTCATGTGTTCAGTGAACTCTCCTTCTAGGAATCACTGTTAATGGCCCTATAAGTTGGTGTGCTCCAGCACACTCTGAGCAATACTGAGTTAGAGCTCTGATACTTCATTTAGAAGGTGTGCAGATAAATGTGGGTTCTGGTGTCTCTCTTCACCCTCATCACAAATACCGCTGACGCAAGTGTTGCTGGCGCACGCTGCTGTGACTCCTGGTGATGTGATACCTAACAGTGCTCACCTAGTTATACCCACATACAGAAGACAGCTCATTTGCTCTATTTGCTTTCTATGGAGGTATAGAAGTTTCCTGGTTGTGCTTTGTTTTGTTATTTGTAAACATGGTACAAGCTAGGGTCGTCTGAAAAGAGGGTACCTTGATTGAGAAAATGCCTCCATAAAATAGGCTTTCAAGCGGGCTGTGGTAGCACATGCCTTTGATTGGGACACGGAGGCGGATCTCTGTGAGTTCGAGGCCAGCCTGGTCTACAGATCAAGTGCCAGGAGAGGCTGCAAAACTACACAGAGAAATCCAGTCTCAACAAAACAAAACAAAATTGGCATATAGGTAAGCCTGTGAGACATTTTCTTGATTGATGATTAACATGGGAGTGTCCAGCTTGCTGGGGCTTGTGCCACCCCTGGGCAGGTAGTCCTGGAGTGTATAAGAAAGCAGGATTATCTGGACAATGGTGGCATACTCCTCTAATCCCAGCTCTCAGGAGCCAGAGACAGGCAGATCTCTGAGTTTGAGGCCAGCCTGGACTATAGAGTGAGTTCTAGGACAGCCAGGACACAGAGAAACCCTGTCTCAATAAAAAAAAAAAAAGAAAAAAAAAAAAAAACAGGGAGAGATGGGGGGATCAGGCTGAATAAGCTAGTAAGAAGTATTTCCCCATGACCTCTGTTTCAGTAACTGCCCTCAGTGATGAAATGCAACCTGAGAGGTGTGTGTAAGATGAAATAAACCCTTTGCTTCCCAACTTGCTTTTGGCCATGGTGTTCTAGCACAGCAACAGAAAGCAAATTGAAGACAGAGGCCCCCCCCAGCTTCCATCATTACTCTGGCCCTACCGGCCTTTTCTTCCTAGAAGGCTCCAGGCCAACACCGACATGAATGACCCCTCAGGAAGAGGAAGGAACCCCCATTGGAAATAGCACAATGTGTCCTTTTACAGAAATGACACTGTCTTCAAACTCAATTCCGTGAACATTTTCATTAGAAAATGGATTGATATTGAAGATAGCAGATATTGAATGGATTTTATGTACATGAATGTGTTCATTGGACGGATGTGTCTCATTCCAGAGTTTACCAAAATGGCCCTCAGACTCGTGCTACTATCCACCCATTTAAACCAAGTAGTATCTGAGCCTTGGGCTTCTCAGGTAGACAAACATTAGATTTTGTTTGTTTCTAGAAGGTTTGTGTCACAAATCAACCAAAAGTTTTAAAGCATGTTTACCATACAAAAGTAAAGACATTATACAGGATCAAAGGGCAGAATACTGAGAAGGCAGAGAGTCAGTCATCCTTGTATTTTGAAAGGATGGCATCTCAGATTTCCAGGAGGAAATGGTGAAAGCAACAGGAACTGGCAGGCTAGGGATATGACAGGCCAGGGAGGTGGCAGGCCACTTAGCTGTCAGGCCAGACAGAGGGAGGTGAGAATTCATACCTTTTCTTGTTATTATGAAATGTCAAGTGAGAAAAAAATGTGTAGGGAACTAGATGGCCTCTGTCAGTATTTCTAAAAGTCAAGTGATAGGTGGTAAATCTAGTAGAAATGTCTCAAGATGCCTGTCAAGAAAATACAAAAGCTGGACATGGTGGTCCATGCCTGTAATTCTGGTACCCAGGAGGCTGATGCAGGAGGATTGAGAGTTGAAGGCCATCAAAAATATAAAATAAAGAAAATATTTGCAACTGTATGTCCTTTTCCAAGTGTCCTTGGTAGTGGTAGATACTTAAGTGCAATCCATTCTTATGGTTGCAGTATCTCAGGTAAAGTTGTCATGTAATTATTCTGTTTATTCATATTTTTT